TAGAAAGAGTAGTGCTCATAATGACTGCTTATGTATGTAGTCATGTTTTTTTTTATCAAGAGTCTTACCTTATTTATGGTAATAATGCCTAGCTACTATTGTTTGTTCAACATGTCACTCGAGCAATTCTTTCCATCCAATTAAAGAATTACCTTATACTATCCCCTTACACAGGATTCAACAACGTCCACTCAAGTTCAGAGTGTACATTGTTTTAGTGATACTGATACGTGTATACTGCAGCTTACAGATTTGTCATTTTTTAATATACTGCTTAGTTTTTGAAGTTCCTTCAACTAAATACGTAAAATAATGAAGCAACCCGAAAGAAAATGGGATTTTTCTAAAAAACATCTAAGTCTATTTGGCAATTTAGTAGTTTATTCTTAAATGAGTGTTTCTTTGGAGAACTGAGAAAAAATATAGGATGCAATACTGATGTAAAGTCGCAGTGGAACTCAATTGGCTGAAATGCCGAGTCTGACCAACTCAATATCAGTTTTTGACTAAGGCTCAGATGGTTGACCTGAGTACTAAGCTTATTGTGAATACTTTGAAAAGACTTCCAAAATGAGTCAACATAGATTGTATGAAAGTCATATTAATGAAACAACACTTTGTAAATGGATGACAGCAAATATCGAACCATATGAACTATTCCTATTTTTCACTCTAAGGAAGTCCCCTTTTTTGGTAGTTTAGCGGTTATAAATTGCAATATATGTATACGATTGTAAAATGTTGCATACTAGATGTACAATACAGTAAAAAAACGAAAGAAAACTAGAACGGGAATCATTAAATAATGATTTTACAAGAAGAGAACATACAAAAGGAATTAATCTTGTGGTGGAGGAACCTCTTTAATAACAATACGAGAAACTGAATTCCATCCACTGTATGCATCTGCGTTACCATATCCAGCACAATTACCGACCCGGAATCCAACTTGCACTTTTCCTTTATGAATTTTGTTACAATATCCTTCAATTTGACGATGTCGATGGATATTTTGTGACTTTCCATTCTCCATGAAAAGAATTCCATCAATAGGAAGAGGGTTTTTACATTCAACTCCATTGAAAGTAAAAAACCAACGTTTGCAGCAACCATTGCACCCATAAATTCGCAAGGTTCCTCCATAAAACACTTGAATGGAAGTGTTGTCAAACTTTTTTGTGAATACACAATTCTAAATAGAAATTAAATCATTGCTAAAACGATATGTAATAATTCATAACAAAAGAAATATTTCATATACTTGTTGCACCTGAATTAATCCATGATCTTTACCATCGCCTCTTTTCCAAGCACATTGTTTCCAGCTTGAAAAAATCATGTCATTTTTCAATGGAGGACCAGGATTACCTCGTTCACCTTTTTCTCCTTTAGATCCTACATCTCCTTTTAAACCGTCTCGTCCGGCTGATCCAGGTACACCGGGAACTCCAGGAACCCGGGAATTCCACAGCTTGCTGAACATTGAGCCTTGAAAACGGTAGAGAAAAATATTTTTGCCTAAACAGTGAAGGTTCTATAAATATTGAATTGTGGATCAAATTCAATATGGTTGAAGGAATAATAACAGCCTCTTTCTATTGCGTTGAAGTCTCCCGATCCTAAAGTATTTCTTAACAGATAATATGATCTTGTTTTTGTAAATTTCTTTAGGATGTTCCGAGTTGAACAACGCCCTTTTCCACCTTAATTCACAGGAATCTATTTGTTGGCCGCTTATGCAAAAGAGTTTGCAAATTATAATTTTAATACTAAAGAAGTATAAATAAACTACAGGAACAAAGTTTCTCGCGACCTTAAAAAAAGTCTATTGCGTTAAAATATGCATTTGATTCTTGCACCGAAATTTTAACTTAAACCATTTCACAAAGTTAATGCTTCCAAACCTTTGAGTTCTTTTTTTTAAACGATGCACTGACTGTATTTGATAGCAATAACATGGATACCATTATAAGATTCATCTTCACTTTTATCATATTCGAACCGCAGTTTACTTCTTTAAGTGCTCATCAATTAATTGTTTTGCTTGTAATGAAGAGCTAACTTCAGTCCTCTGTTTTAAGTATTTGCAATAAAACGGATTCATTTCCGTTTCAGCAAATATTGTTTTTTGATAATGGAGAAATGAGTAGAGTAGCCACGTAATCTCTAAGCAAATTCATGATTATGATGGTAATGTAGAATTGTTTGCTTAAAATTTGCAGTTGAATATGAATAGATTATGAATATTTAAGAAACCACAAAAATCACTCTGGGCATAAAATCCTCCTTTTGGATGTTTATTAAACCAAAATTTCTTCTAATCATACTTACTCACATCTACAACGGTTAACGAGTACATAAAACAAGAGAAATAGAAATTGTAAAATTATTTTATTTGTTTTGCTTTAATTGCATCAGTGATTACTTTGAAAAGAAGTTCCATGCAAGTTATAGCGTCATTTTATGATTCGGATAAATATCTTGCATTTTTCAATTTTCTGTAACACTAGCGATTCTCAAATCAAAAGCCCCAACAGGTTGCTGTGTATTGGCTCTTAACAGGAACAATAAAGCACTTTAGCTAGACATATGTTTCACCATGAAAGTTGTTAAATGCACGATCTTCAATCAAAAACTTTATTTTTGATGTGAATGACACTCTCCTTTATATGATCTAGATAATGCAGTCTAAGTATCAGGTGCATTACAGAATAATATTTAGCACCACTCAACCAAATATAACCCAGTTCTTCTAACACAGAATTAAAGGAACAACACTAAAGTAAATTTTTATTATTGCTACTGCACGTTCTTAATCTATTGACAGTAAGTTTATTTTTACTTTGCAATCCGTGTGAGTTAAATGCACGCGTGACACTTAAAAAAGACAATTGTGATTGGTTTAGGACATCGTGCAGATAACGCGTGTTTTTTGCTAATTCGCGAAATGATTGGTTTAGGTTTCTGTGGAACTATAATGTGTTGAACTGTCATTAATAGAGTTCACTCATTAAAGTCTAGAGAAGTAAGTACGCAGCATAACATTTCAGTCTGTTCACTTTATTTTTGTCTGACGTGTAGTTGTATTTTTTGTAATGCTACTGATTTATAAGCCAATATAGCTTTCAGGTTTGGAATTGTATAGGAAGTTGAACGGTAGATTGTCGAAGTTCATTTAATAGGGAGAAATGATTAATTTTAAATCCTGCTAGAAGCAACTGCTATGAAATGAAAATTGTGCATTTTCGACTGATAAGTAATTGATCATTTTATAAATATCTTAAGTTCTTTGTTATTTATCAAGTCAAATTTTTTTTCATTGTTTATAAGCTATTCTGCAAGCGTAACATCTTCAATTGATGGTCTATAAAACCTTCGATATCTCTATGATGCCAAGTTGACAACTGCCAAAACAGTAAAAACAGCCTTGATAAAATTTGATAAAATATGTTTTGTATGGCATTGATTCGTGATTGATGGTGAACAGCGCGGATTCTTTATAAGTATGCAAGCATAAACGTCTATATATGAAGTTAGTTGACATTCTTGTACGCATAATGTACACATCACAGACTCGACTTCGTTTGAATTGCTGTAAAAGTGCCATGATCTAATATACAAACCTTCACAGTGTTATCTTTTGGGTTTTTGTCTTGTGCTATCAAGAACACTTTGTCCCTATAATCATGCACGTACTATGAGACAAAATTTCTTTATAGTTTAAATGGTATGATTATTACTGTTACAATAGAGCAATGACAAGATTTTGAATTATTTTGATTAGGCAGAAATCGTTTCTTTATTTAGCTAAGTTTTGTGTCATTCAGTATAGAAAGTATAGGTTTTACTTATCTTCATACAATAAAACAAACTTCACTTCCTCTTCAGCAAAAATATTTTAATCGCTGGTGTACTTCAAATCAAAATAAAGTTATGCCACGTAGTAATAAATCTTTGTTCTTATATCTAATGACGTGTCTTCTGACATAAATGGTCAAAATAAATAAGTGTCTACTTTGCATAACAGGAGAGAATATTATCGCACTGTCAAATCTTTCTTTAGAAGATTCTATTTATTGTTATGCTAAGTCGAAAAATTGCTGAATTGATTTTCTATTTTGTTTACCACTGCAATGACGGCGTCAACATTAATATTACTCCCTAAAAGTAGAAATTGTTTGTAGTAAGAAACATGATTTTTTTTTAGTTGTACTTGAGTCATTTGTATGACTTGTATCTCTACCACTTGTATGACTTGTATCTCTACCTCACAATTACAGCGTCACAAAATTTCAAAATTTATCACAAATAGCCAGTTAATTATGGAAGTCACAAGTTAAGATTTTAAGACTTACTTATTTGTAAGTTAAACGACTGCTGTGATTTTTGCTAATTCTGCTATTTTAACCAACACAACAACACCATTTCCGCAATACAATATTATTAAACTTTAGTGGCTATAATTTTCTTTTAAAGCTACTACCAAGAATACCTGTAGTACACTGATAAAGGTTTGGAAGACGAGTATCGAGACTGATGCCACAAATGTCAAGAAATTGATCAAATTTTCCAACGACAAATTAATATCAATTACTAAAATTTGAATAAAGTTTGTGTGCAAAAGAAATAGCAATGATATTCAAACAGAAAATATCAAACAAGGAAAAAATACCAATACTGAGCGTGGCAAGGATGATTTCGCTACATATATGAATAAGGAACATAAACTCTCAATGATTGAAATGAAATTCGCATTTTTTAGTGTTGCTATTTTACGTTTGTGAGCAAGAGGTCAGTACGTGGGATCGAATTTACCACGGGCGGAGAGGAGGCTGAGCCTGCAGGCAGTTTACAAACAATGAATAATTGATTACATAGGGATTACATATGAGATGTGGGACAAGTGGGACTATCTCTTAAAAGTTCATTCAACTTTGATTTTGCGTTTGAATTTCGTATCAGAGTAATTATGTAGACGCATTTACATGAATTTTGAAAATTTTGGCCAGAAGAATCCTCACAAAGGTAAGAAATAGGAATAAGCCATTTTATTTCAGATATATTTGTAAAACTTGTTGTTTATTGTAACATTTCATCAACAGTTTCAAACTATTCATTGCATGTGTGAGATTCAATTAGTGGCAAGCACAATTGTACCGAATCAATTAAATCTTCCAGTTCATTTTACCTTAAATTAAAGTATTTATCATTCACACATTACTATATTTTGAAGCACTCATTTTAATTGCACAATTTGCACTGATACCATAACAATGATTTTGTTGCATGTCATATAATATTGATAATAATTTTATCTGCATCTAAAATGTGTTGACAAGGTTATGGCAAAGTCAACATTAAGGCAACTTGCATGAAAAAATTGACCACATTGATCACAACCCAGCCAGTCTTCATTGTCATCCTCTCTGCATATTTTGCAAACAGCCACAATTTGCTCCCTAAAGATATTCATAATGAATTCCATATAAAATATTCAACTAAATGTTATTTATGCCTTATTGTGTAATATCATCATAGCAAGACCCAAGTAATGTTGACAGGATTTGTTTTCTCTCAGTCTCTATGTTTGCTGGGTTTTGATAGTCCAAGCCAAGGGCTAGAAATCAAGCAAACTGATGGAAATGAGCGTTACTGAATAATCATGTTTGTAATATAGCTATTCAAGTAAAGTTAGGCTATTTCAAGCTTACCAAGCATATGTACACTCCACAGTTATACATATCTTCCTGTTTACAATGGAGTGGTTCAAAACATTGCCATGAGCTTGAGTTCCAACCTGTTTTTACATCTACCAAAGCACTAAAACAGTGACAAACGTGACCACTTTGTTTGTTTATATGATACATCATCTGTTTATCAGGTCTCTTTTTGTCTGCACTTCCTCCAAGTGGTCAAGTAGAGTCTGTTTTTGAGAACTTATCTATAGCCTATATTACACAAAATTACTGTTGCATTTAGTTAAAAATTTTCTCTTTGTTAATTAAGGAATTAAATTAGTTAATGTTTCTATAGATAGTAATTTTTGCATGTAAATATGTGGACTCGCGTGGGCTAAGTATGCATATAATGCATGTCTATATTTTATTATTGCCTTCATTGATTAGCTCAAATACTTACCAGTAGTGTCCAGTGAATGTCATGGATGTTGATTGGAAAAAGGATAATTTTGGTTTGGTGAAAAGATCTATTAGCCCATGTGCGTCTTGTGCTTGAGTTGTTTTTAACAAAGTCCGAAATAAATGATTCTGCTGCAAGAACAGTAGTGTAGTTTTCAGTCAAACTCCACAAAAAAGCGTCAATTATCTAAAATCAAAAGAAAGCATAGTTTGAAGAGATCTCCTCGCCAGTTTTACGTGTACATAGCACTCATGGTTATAAACAATGACTTATAATGATAAATAAGAAGACTATATTAGACGCTTTTTTCTCTTACATAGTCAGTCAGCCAACCAGGTTTGAATGTGGTAACTTCTTTTTTAATAATTTTTAATTCTTTTTCAGTTATATCTTTTGGACTGACAAGTGACCAAAGATCTACTTTTGATACATTCACAGGACCAAATTCCTGCACAGTATCCCCAAGACACTGTCTTTCTATAAAGACATTTATTCGTTGCCTTGGAGTCAGAAACAATGAATTGTATGTCAACTGTTTGCAAGTATCATTGTTGGTGCTATATTATTTAAAAACATAGTGCATCAAGATACATTCACAATTTCAGCTCGTTTTGCAATGAATCACTGACCTTTCTTGTTGTTCCAAGTTGTTGATTGTCGGTGCTTCAGTGCTTTCTTGTGATGCCTGGATTTCCTCTGTTTCACTCTCATACAACAATTCTTGCTCAACTGGCTCTTCAAGTGCATTTTGGAACGTAAATTGTGAGTGAAAATTATAATTTGTAAAAAAGAGCTCGTCAATCGAGGTTGCGAAAATGAAAATTATCTCACCTTGTTTGATGATACAGCGCGCTTTTAACTTATGTCTGGGATCATTGTTGTGATATAGTTATTAGCATGCTTCTTTTTGCAACGAAGAGGCAATTTTTTATGAAATACTTGATGATACTCCACACTTGTTACTTTCAAACGCTTTTTTGTTGGACTATTTCCAATTGGGAAACCTTCACTGACTGGGCAATTTCGATTTAAGATTTCGTGCTGTTTATTTGTGTAGTCAAGCGCTTCTTTCAAAGGTTTTAGTTCGTTGACGGTGAATGCCTGATTTCGAACAAGGCTCAACTTGGAAACAAAGGGTTGAGTAACGTTCTTACTGACAAGCTCGTGAATTTTACTTATTACTCGTTTTTCAACGTTGTAGCTGATTTTGACTGAACTTCCAACTACATGATTCTGGTGTTGTGATGATAAAGGTAGTTTCACGTAGCACTTTGATGAGGTGTTCATATTGTTTGGAGTCTTAGAAATGTCTGCTCATAGTTTATGTAAAACGGTTTTTTCGCTTTTTTCAAGCTGTTCGCTGTTGGATAAAGAGTCTTGTCGAGATAGTAGTCCTCAAAAACTTTTATTTCACAGATTGTTGCTGGGCAACCAAATTTTTGACTGTTCTGCAAGTTTTGATATGTTTTGGTGGCGTAATTGTGCTCAGAAGATTTTTTTGTTTATTTGCTCCTCCTCGCGAGTCCTAAAAGTGGTCATTTTGCTTAGCCTGTTGATTAAAAATGTTATAACTGTTTAATCTATCTCGTTGTAATACAGCGTTTGAAATCTGACCTTTTCTGATCCATGTATGCATTGCCTAGTTTATGTGCTTTCTGTTGTAAATGGAAAATCGCAATTGGTACATTGCCGTTATTATCTTCGAAAACGGGTGAAGCTATAAAAACACGTAGAGATGATGCTTAGGTCCGTTAGTACTTTTGTAATAATTAGCGCAAATTAAAATTTGTAAAGTAAACTCCAATGAACACTTTTTTCCGTTACATATTGTATTTTTGCAGTGCCGTACTTTTTGATGCTATGCACTGTTTCCTTACCATTTATTGAAAAGCGTTTGTGGTCTTTGCGTTTGTTGTGCGTTTGTGAACAAACAAATGACGTCGACGATAACAAAGCGTAAGATTCTAAGATCCTCTCCAAACTTTCAGCACCTCCTTCATATTCTGCCAGGAATTAATGCTCTTGTTGTCCAACACTATTGAAATATGTCCTGATGAATTCAATTTCCTTGTTTCGCATATCTGTCGCAGTTACGTCAAGTGTTGAGTTCGTATCACTCGCCATTATTCCGTTTTTAACAGTAAGTTTGAACAGGCGAGGACACTTGATGATCGAATAAATTGGAAATTCAGGGCTCTGACATAGGTATACTATGTACATAATAATCCATCTTCAATTTTCGGCCTGGTTTTCAAATCTTACTTGACATCAAATATAAAATCTGCCAATTTGCACACGTTTGCCATTTTTAAGTTGTCGTCATTACACTAACACCCATAATTTTCAAACTGTAGTTGTCTCTTGAAGAAAACCTACAAGTTTAGCTTCCTTCTTGAGCGTTCACGAGCCACATTTTTAAATAAATGAACAGGCTCTTTAGTTTGACACGATGCAGTCAAAAGAAAACCCGGTTTGAAATTATAACTAAAAGCATGTAGTTTCATTGGTAGTTTAATTTTCATGCCTGGAATGACATAGATACATACATACATACATGCACACATACACATATATTTACACATTTAAAAAGAGAGACAAACCTTTTTCCTCGATTTGGATGTCGAAATTCGAGATACCTGTTGTACAGTAGGTATTGTGTAGTTTATTGTTGACTCCGTTAAATACTTTTTCGATTTACTGCCAATTGAGAGTGAATATTGCAACCACGATGTGTTTTTTTTGTGATTTATATTTTTACACTTATGATTCGAGGCATTTATGTTCTAGTTAACTAGGTGCAGTTATGCCACACGGATAACGTACCTGTAACTGTACTTAAACTTAAGTGCACTTGCGTAACTAGTAATGTCAAGTGCGTGGTTTTAATTACGCGTATGTTTAAAACTAGGATTGGCTATTTCCTCTGATTTTTTGTGGATAATTCTAGACAAAGTATTGTGCACTCTTTATGTACGTCAGTATACAATAGTATGTACGTGTATAACCCGACTAAGTGTAAATGACATACCTATAAAGGTTTTTATTCATAAAACGATTTACTCAAATTAATGTTAAGATTATGGATTATGAACGTTTTACAAATTTTTGAATGATGTCTTAATACGAGACGTAAAAACAGTAAAATTAATAACTAAATATTTTGCTGCGCCAGTGTAATTTTGGCAAAGCTTCTTTAAAATATTTCATGAGTTGGTTGAACCTGCGTCACGTGTCGCATGCCGCATTATAAAAGAGAGCATTAATATTTAATTATTGTTCTTTGCTGTATGTGTTTTAAATCTACTATTCTAACTGGTGAATGTCTGCAGGCTCAGCCTCCCACTCCGCCCGTGGTAAATTGAATCCCTCAGTACGTTACGTTTGAGCAAAAAGTACACAGTGCTTTGGTTCTGACTCTCTTTGGTCGTGTTACTAAAGATTACGTCATCTCCATGTGACATTGAAAAAAGCCTGAGTTCTAGCGTTCTTAGCTCGCGATAAAATGTAATGAATCAGTGGTTGTTAGTTAAGCCTGTAACATTGCATTACAATTTTGTCTAGTTAAAACGAACTGAATTTGGAAGTCTTTGCCTATTGTGAAGGATGTAAAGGGTTGATAAAGGAAATAAATTGTTTTTTATTTTTTTTGATTTTGTAAGTAATACGTAGTTAACTGAATGTGATGAATGTTTGCTATATAGTTTCGAGTTGCTTAAGTCCACGAATCGATGAAGCCCCCAAACATCAAATACGCTGCGCTTGCAAGAATTAATGAAGACGCTAAACAACAGATGAAATTGCGATGGCATACATGTATGATGCACACAAAGAAGTAAAAAAGAAGTTATGCAGAATCAACGAATCACCCAAACAAGAAAACATGTTGCGCACGTAGCAACAGCCAGCAAACAATGTAGAATCAAGACCATCAAATGGATTTGTTTTTACATAGATCAAACCACAAAAGACGTTACGTTGTGTAGAAAAGTTATTAAGCAACTCTAAGTCGAAAAGAAAAGAAAATTTTTGAAAGCATTGACACACACCAAATCTTAAAACACTCTCTTTCTTTGCTTCCTTCTTTCTATGCTTCATTTATTGTCTTGTGTTCTTGAATTATTTTCATGATGTCAGCTTGCAAACTTTGGTCTGATCACGTGATCGCCTCAAATTAAACTTTTTCTTGAGTTTTGAGATGTTTTTATCTCACATATATGGATTATTACAATATTTTTTCCTTACGGATTTATATGTTGCTATGCAATAATTCTAGCAAGCACCTAGCTGCAAATTTGTGGAGAATTTCAAGTACAACATGTTCATAACATTAGTAACATTAGTTTTACCCTTATCATACCTGCATTCTGTTTTATTGCTCATTTACTTGCAGTAAAAAATGTAGGTGTGCAATTGATGTTGCTTTTCAAAAGAGTTTAAGTTAAGCAATAATGTTTGAATGTGTGCACAAGTTAATGACCAGAAATTCTCTCAGTTTTATTGTCTCTTTCGTGCAACTGATGTTGCTATCAATGCAAATTTAATGTGATAAGTATGGTATTTTTTGCTTCCTGTTTTACGTTGGATTATAAAAAATTGTTTTTAAATTACTTTTTAACAACATGGAACAAAACACCATTTTAAACTGCAAACCGAGGCAAGCTTAAACAGAAAATTACTCGGAGTCTCCTACCTTTCCAATTGTATTTGAGATATTTTATTTCCGTTCTTTCCATGTGTACAGATACGACGTTTGTTTATCATTTCCAAACAACGGTATTAACTTGATCCCCTCACTTTACAATTTCTCATTGAGAGAAGTCAACGAAAATCGTTTCCTTTCTATAAAAACAAAAATTTTATTAAATATTGCAGAGTTAAGTAAGACTTGCAGCACGGATCGAACTGACAAAGTCATCAGAAATGAATCGTTAATAAGAGCACTGAGATCTTTTATTGGTACAAAATTGAGCATTATACAACATCATCAACATATCTCACTTTTTCCAAAATATTTTTGTAATAGTTACAATACATAATTTTTCTGCAGAACGATTTCTTTGCGTTGAAAAGAATGCTAGCCTCATTTTGTTGGCTCTATATGACAGCCAGATTCAAATGACGTCACAATTATTTGACTAAATAATAAAATATTTGCTTGAAAACCGATTTAAATCTTCAAAAAATTAGAAAGAAGTACATAGCTAGCTATATATATAAAGTCGAATAAACAATAATTTAACCAGGCAATATTGTTGGAAAATTTTTACTTTATACAAGAGTTTTTAGTCACAGGTATATTTTTTTCTGTAGCAATTAAATTTTTTCATTACAGGTAAGTTTTTCGACGCTTGCTGAGCTGAAATTTTTTGAAGCAACGTAGGCAACGTTTCTTTATCGACAAAAAGGACTTTACGACAAGGAAACATTGTCAAACTACAATTTCAACTAGATATTTTAACCCCAACAACGTGATCACAATCACAATCAATGTGAAGCAGCTACTCAAAACAAATAAATATTTGGTAACTAGCTTTAAGAATAATTCATTTACTGTAATATGGAATGTAAAATTTTTAATTATTTGCGAGCGACGAGTAAATAGTAGACTAAATTAGCTCTGTAATGTTAGGTAACTAAATTACCTCATGTCTTGCAATACACATCTCTTATAATACATACAAACAAAAACTTTGATACGAAAAAGAGTCGAATAAAAACGTGACAAAGGTGAAATTAATGTTGTGGAGGAGGAACCTCTTTAATAACAACACAAAAAACTGTATTCTACCCAGTGTGTGCATTTGCGTAACATAAAGATGGACAATTTCCAACCCAGAAATAAACTTGCACTTTTCCTTTATCAATTTTAATACAATATCCCTCGATGTGAGGATGTCGATGGATACTTTCTAAGCTGGCAGATTCCATGAGAAATATCCCATCAATAAGAAGAAGATTTTTGCATTCTACTCCATTGAAAGCAAAATACCAATGTTTGCAACAACCTATGCATCCAGAGATTTGCAAGATTCCTCCATAAAAAACTTGAAGAGATGTGTTGTCAAACTTTTTCGTAAATACACAGTTCTTTAGAAACAAAACTGTAGCGGAATTTTCAAGATATTGAAATTCATATGATATGATCTGCAACATTTCTCCAAAAAGCCAGCACAATATTATTAAACCCGTTTTATAATAAAATGTCTTGCTTTCTCGCTTTTATTGTTTTTTTAATTTCTCGTGTTTTTATCTCATAATGGCTGTACAGTGAACTAATTTTTTCATTCAAGTCTATCGCTCATAGAATTTAGTTCAGTTTTAGCAACTTTTCAAAAAGACTGAAATATCATATTATTAGCTAAGTTGATGATGAAATGCAATATTTCTTCTCGTAAGGTATATGATTTGATAGTTTATTTAAGAAATGAAAGATGTTTACTGTGTTTGCACAGACTTATGGAAACCGAGGAGACCTTTGGGAGAACTCGAGAGCAGATCAGTGCAAGCTCGAGACCGAAGGTCGAGGGTTGCACATGGAAACATCTTTTATTTCTTTTATAAAATAACAATAATGCGAAAAAGACAAATATTTTAATTTTTCCTCCAAAAATGTATTCATGATCGATTTACAAATTCTCATTGACTGACTGATTGTTATGATTGATTTGATTGGTTGAGCTCAGATGTGCTTTGTACAGGCTGATGGAAACATAGCTCTAGACTAATCAGCACACGCGTTTCATTGTGTTTATTTTATAAATGTATATAGATGTATTTTGTAAAATAAAAGTTTCTCCGGATTTTAAAAAATAATTTTTATTGAGCTTTCGACTCGGTGCTTCTAGCCTTCTTCAGAATCAAAACTTTTATTTTACAACATTAATGCTGGATTATTAATTTTCAAGATTATAAATGTATGTGTACATGATTTGCAATGTATAATTCTAGTAATGTACATGACAAGCTTCTTAAATTTGATAACTGCTTGTTCCTGAACAAGATCAGAGAACACAGTTCGTTGTCAAATATTTTAGATATGCTGTATTCATGCTGTTACACAACAGTCAAAATGGTTGGGTGTTTCATTGGTCTTTGTTTCACATGGAATCGTCTAAGATAAAGTTGCTCTAAAATGTATTACTCCATGAAAATTTTACGAAGAAGCTTTCTTATTAAGTTTTGCTAAACTCTTCAAATCATTTAAGTACAATTCATTATTCAAACTTTATCCAAATCATAAAAGTAAAATACTTACACGGGGACACCGAGAATACCTGTTGTTCTACATAACTGAGGAAATTATATACGCTGATTTCAGTTAGCAAGCAAAATATTTATTCATTATATGTATAACATTTCAGTACATATAAATGAAATATTGATAATAAGAAGAAAATACACAAAAAGTACAATTTCATCCCGACAAATCTGTTTGGTGATTTTTCACTCTTCAGGGGATAATAATAAGTGAATACAAAAGCATGTGTTTGACTATATATACAAAAGGAAGTTAGGTGTACGATTACAAATTGGATGAAAGTGCCTTGTGTCTATGGCGACAAGAGGAGACAAGTTTGTTACGTTTGTTGAGTGATGATAGTTGTGGTTCGTATGTGATGAAGAATTTTTCTTTCAGGCATAGGTTGCATCTTTTGCTGGCGCTGTTGTGAGTAATGATGTTCCATGAGATATCGTGAGCAATTTTGTTGTCTTTTAGTGTCCATAGGTGTTACTGAGTTCGGTAGAGGCAGTGTGGTTCCTGTGTCGAGTCTTAAATTAATTTTTTGTAATTCCGATGTAGGTCTCAGTTGTGTTAGTGTCCTAACATTTAACAGTTGCTTGGTAGATGACAGATAATTGTAGTCAGTTGAACCGGCTTGTCGGGATGAAATTCTACATTCTGTGTATTTTCTTCTTATTATCAATATTTATACTCTGCTCTGACGCATCGAGCACTGTAATTACGGAAAATAAAATAAACAAAACTTCCTATAAATGAAATATATATGCATAAAGTACATAAATGTATATAAATTAAAGTAGACGTAATCATTTGTGATGATTTATCATTACTTGTTAATTTGTTGGTCTTTGAAATCCCTTGTTTACTTCGGATTATAGCATGCTGCATGCATATGAACATGACCCCAACCCCATTTATCAATCTTCCACAATCCCTATGCATGGAACAAACTAGGGAGATGAATGCATAATTGTTTGGAAGCAATTTGTTTCATTGATTAAACAGTTGATAAGAAGAAGAATTGATTGCAATATATGTATATGATTGTGAAATAAATGTTGCATACTAGATGTACAATACAGTAAAAAACGAAAGAAAACTAGAACGGGAATCATTTAATACTGATTAACCAGAAGAGAACATACAAAAGGAATTATTCTTGTGGTGGAGGAACCTCTTTAATAACAATACGAGAAACTGAATTCCATCCACTGTATGCATTTGCGTTACCATAACCAGCACAATTGCCGACCCGGAATCCAACTTGCACTTTTCCTTTATGAATTTTGTTACAATATCCTTCAATGTGACGATGTCGATGGATATTTTGTGACTTTCCATTGGCCATGTAAAGAACTCCATCAATGGGAAGAGGGTTTTTACATTCAACTCCATTGAAAGTAAAATACCAACGTTTGCAACAATCATTGCACCCATGAATTCAAGGTTCCTCCATAAAACACTTGAATGGAAGTGTTGCCAAACTTTTTTGTGAATACACAATTCTAAAATGAAATTAAGTCATTGCTAAAATGATATGTAATAATTCATAACAAAAGAAATATTTCATATACTTGTTGCACCTGAATTAATCCATGATCTTTCTCATCGTTTCTTTTCCAAGCACATTGTTTCCAACTTGAAAAACTCATGTCATTTTTCAACGGAGGACCAAGATTACCTCGTTCACCTTTTTCTCCTTTAGATCCTACGTCTCCTTTCAAACCGTCTCGTCCGGTTGCTCCTGGTACACCGGGAACTCCTGGAACCCCGGGAATTCCACAGCTTGCTGAACATTGAGCCTTGAAAACGTTAGAGAAAAATGTTTTTGCCTAAACAATGAAGATTCTATAAATATTGAATTGTGGCTCAAATTCAACTTGGTTGAAGGAATAATAACCGCTTTCTATTGCTTTGAAGTCTCTCCGATCCTAATGTATTTCTCAACGGATAATATGATCTTGTTTTTGTAAATTTCTTTGAGATGTTCCGAGTTGAACAACGCCCTTTTCCACCTTAATTCACAGGAATCTATTTGCTTGGTGCTTATACAAAAGAGTTTGCAAATTATAATTTTAATACTCAAGAAGTATAAAAAAACTACACGAACAAAGTTTCTCGCGACCTTAAAAAAAGACTATTGCGTTAAATTATGCATTTTATTCTTGAACCGAAATTTTAACTCAAACCGTTTCACAAAGTTAATGCTTCCAAACCTTTGAGTTTTTTTTCTTAAACGATGCACTGACTGTATTTGATAGCAACAACATGGATACCATGATAAGATTCATCTTCACTTTTATCATTTTCCCACCTCAGTTTACTTCTTTAAGTGCTCATCAATTAATTGTTTTGCTTGTAATGAAGAGCTAACTTTAGTCCTCTGTTTTAAGTATTTTCAATAAAACGGCTTCATTTCCGTTTCAGCAACATTGTTTTTTGATAATGGAGAAATGAGTAGAGTAGCCACGTAATCTTTAAGCAAATTCATCATTATGATGGTAATGTAGAATTGTTTGCTTAAAATTTGCAGTTGAATATGAATAGATTATGAATATTTAAGATACCACCAAAAATCACCCCGAGCCTCTTTTTTGGATGTTTATTAAACCAAAAATTTCTTCTAATCATACTGAGTCACATCTACCATGGTTAACGAGTGCATGAATACAAGAGAAATAGATATTGCAAAACTATTTTAATTTGTTTTGCTTTAATTGCATCAGTGATTACTTGGGTAAGAAGTTTCATGCAAGTTATAGCGTCATTTTTATGATTTGGATAAATATCTTGCATTTTTACTATTTTCTGTAGCACCAGCCATTCTCAAATATAAAGCTCCTACAGGTTGCTGAGTATTGGCTTTTAACAAGAAGTATAAAGCATTTTAGCTAGATATATGCTTGACCATGAAAGTTGTTAAATGTATGATCTTCAATCAAAAACTTTATTTTTTATGTAATTGACACTCTCCTTTATATGATCTAGATAATGCTGTCTAAATATCAGGTGCAATACAGAATAATAACTAGCACCACTCAACCACATATAATCTAGTTCTTCTAACACAGCATTAAAGGAACAACATTAAAGTAAATTTTTATCATTGCTAATGCACGTTCTTAATCCATTGACAGTAAGTTTATTTTTACTTTGAAATCCGTATGAGTTACATGCACGCGTGGCACTTAAAAAAGACAATTGTGATTGCTTCAGGACATCGTGCAGATCACGCGTGTTTTTTGCTAATTCGCGAAATGATTGGTTTAGGTTTCGGTGGAAGTATAATGTGTTCAACTGTCATTAATTGAGTTCACTCATTAAAGTCTAGAGGAGAAGTAAGTACGCAGCATAATATTCTAGTTTCTTCATTATATTTTTGTCTGACGTGATAGTTGTATTTTTCGTAATGCTACTGATTTATAAGCCAATATAGCTTTCACGTTTGGAATGGTTTAGGAAGGTATATTGTCGAAGCTCATTTAATAGGGAGGAATGATTAGTTTTAAATCCTGCTAGAAGCAACTGCTATGAAATGAAAATTTTGCATTTTCGACTGATAACTAATTGATCATTTTATAAATATCTTAAGTTCTTTGTTATTTATCAACTCAAAATTTTTTTCATTGTTTATAAGCTATTTTGCAAGCGTAACTGCTTCAATTGATGGTCTATAAAATCTTCGATATCTCTATGATGCCAAGTTGACAACTGCCAAAACAGTAAAAACAGCCTCGATAAAATTTGATAAAACATGTTTTGTATGGCATTGATTCGTGATTGATGGTGAACAGCGCGGATTCTTTATACGTATGCAACACAAACGTCTATATATGAAGTTAGTTGACATTCTTGTGCGCATTATGTACACATCACAGACTCGACTTCGTTTGCATTGCTGTAAAAGTGCCATGATCTTATATACAAACCTTCACAGTGTTATCTTTTGGGTTTTTATCTTGTGCTATCAAGAACACTTTGTCCCTATAATCATGCACGTACTATGAGACAAAATTTCTTTATAGTGTGCATGATATGATAAATACTGTTACAATAGTGCAATGACAAGATTTTGAATTATTTCTATTAGGCAGAAATATTTTCCTTATTTAGCTAAGTTTTGTGTCATTCAATATAGAAAGTATAGGTTTTACTTGGCTTCATACAATAAAACAAACTTCACTTCATACAATAAAACAAACTTCACTTCCCCTTCAGCAAAAATATTCGAAGGTGTACTTCAAATCAAAATAAATTTATGCCACGTAATAATAAATCTTTGTTCTTACATCTAATAACGTGTCTTCTGATATAAATAGTCAAAATAAATAAGTGTCTACTTTGCATAACAGGAGAGAATATTATCGCACTGTCAAATCTTTCTTTAGAAGATTCTATTTATTGTTATGCTAAGTCGAAAATTGCTAAATTGATTTTCTATCTTGTCTACCACTGCAATGACGGCGTCAACATTAAGATTACTCCCTAAAAGTAGAAAGTGTTTGCAGTAAGAAACATGATTTTTTTCAGTTGTACTTGAGTCATTTGCATGACTTGTATCTCTATCCCACAATTACAGCGTCACAAATATCTCAAAATTTATCACAAATAGCCAGTTAATTATGGAAGTCACAAGTTACGGTTTTAAGACTTACTTATTTGTAAGTTAAACGACTGCTCTGATATTTGCTAATTCTTCTATTTTCACCAACACAACAACACTATTTCCGCAATACAATATTATTAAACTTTAATGGCTATAATTTTCTTTTAAAGCTACTACCAAGAAGTACACTGATAAATGTTTGGAAGACGAGTATCTAGACTGATGCCACAAGTGTTAAGAAATTAATCAAATTTTCCAATGACAAATTAATATCAATTACTAAAATTTGAATAAAGTTTGTATACAAAATAAAGAGCAATGATATTCAAGCAGAAAATATCAAACTAAGAAAAAATACCAACATTGAGCGTGGTAAGGATGATTTCGCTATATATATGAATACGGAATATAAACTCTAAATGATTGAAATGAAATTCGCTTTTTTTAGTGTATTTATTTTACGTTTGTGACCAAGAGGTGAGTACGTCACGTTTGAGTGAAAAGTACACAGTGCTTTCGTTCTGACTCTCTTAGGCCCAATGACTTATACCCAATCCTCTAGATATCTAACTGCCGTTGTCACGGTGAGGCAAATTTTATTCGCGGGCGCCATCTTGAAAGGTGGCAAAAAACATAACACGCAATATACGGTAGAATAGTTTACATGTCAAACTGACTCAAATATATGGTTGAAAAACGTTGAAAGCAATCAATCTTAAAAACAAACACAGGTATAACATCCTCAACTCTAAAACAACGTTCAAGAAGCACATTTTAGCTGCAAAGCGCGTAATTTTCGATTTTTCATGGTCAAATCGTGCGCTGCGTATGGATGTACAAATCGCTTTTCGAAAGAGAGTAACATAGCTTTTCACAAATTTCCCATTGAAAATAAGGACCTCTGTAAAGATGGGTCATTGCTATGAAACGAAAAACTTTACCCCAAACGCAAGCAGCTTTCTTTGCTACTGAAGCTCTTGTGTTTATGTTAGTTGGTTTACGAGGACATTGGAAATGTCCTATTGGTTACGTGTTATGTAGTGGAATAAATTCTTCAAATTTGAGTGCACTGGTTAGCAAATCGTTTCGCTTAGAATCTTCAGATGGGCTAAATATTTACAGTGTGACTTGTGACGGTACTGCCACCAATTTTTATTGCATGAAAGCCCTTGGTTGTGAGTTTGGATCAAATTTGTCTGACATTAAATACTCTTTTAACTATGAGTCATATGAACACCCACTGTTTTTTGTTCCTGATGCTTGTCACATGCTAAAACTGGCAAGAAATGCATTGTCCGATCTTAAAGTACTGGTTTCGAGTGAAGGTAGTTTGATCAAATGGGAGCATATTGAAGTGCTGCATAAAGTTCAAGAGGGAGAAGGGTTAAAATTTGCAAATAAGCTGTCCACGGGCACATTGAGTTCCATAGGCACAAGATGAATGTGAAAGTTGCAGCACAAACATTCAGTAGTTGAGTTGCAGATGCCATTGAATACCTATGCTTTCTGGTCATCCAGCTCTTAGTGATGCGAGTGCAACAATAGAATTCATAAGGATTGTTGATCAACTTTTTGACATATTAAACATAAGAAGTCCATTTGGCAAATGTTTTAAAAAACCACTTTTTTATGTGATCACAACACATGGAAAAAAACTTTGGAAAAGTCAATTGAATACCTTTTTTCCATTAAAACAAACTCTGGTGTTCCTCTGATCAAACATAGAAGAAATACATTTGTTCTCTGTTTTGTAGTAGCAGCATCGAGCATTAAAGAGTTGGCTCACATTCTCCTTACAAAGGAACATGATTCTTTCAAATACATTCTGACATACAAAATGTCCCAAGACCACCTTGAGCTGCTGTTTGCATGCATACGTGGTAAGAATGGCTTCAACAATAATCCAGATATTGTACAATTTAAGTCCAGTCTACTGAAAAATTCTTTTAAGAAATTCCATCATTGGTTCCAAGCATGCAAACTGTTTGACTTTCGAAAATGAATCTGCTGGTTCTATTTTTTCATTAAAATGGAATAAAAGAAATGCTCCAGCCTTTGAAGTAGAAGAGATGACACCAAAGGACACATAGTTTAGTTTCTGGATTAGAATCATGTTCACTGTCATCATACAAAGAAGCAATACTTGGATATATTGCTGGGTTTGTTGTAAAAAAGATAATCAATAGAATCACCTGTACTGAATGTGCAAGAGCTCTTTTGCTTAAGTCAAAAAAATCATCATCAGTTCATGATCATAATTATTCACACTTCCAAACTACTACAACTTTATCTTTAATCAGTTTGAAGAATCGTGGTGGTCTTGTTCTCCCTTCTAATGGTGTGACCAAAATAATATTTGCATCTGAAAGAGCTTTTCAAGTCCTCATTCATGAAACTCGTTCAAAAAAACAAAAAATTTCCAGCAGGAGAAACTTGAAGACTATAATGGTTCATCTTATTAACCAAGAGCTTGCAGAAAAGAGCTTGTTTCCTGAACTCAACGAGCATGATGTTGATCACGAAGCAATAACTGAAGATCTACATTCATCACAGCTTATCAAACAGATCATTGAAAAATACATCAATTTACGACTTTCGACCTATGGTAAGCAATATAATAAAGATATCCTCCACAAAACAAAATTGGTGTTCGCCAGCAATCTACGAAGCTTGTTTTATTTCAAGGAATCTAGTCGACTTCGATGAACATCCACACCACAACCAAGGAAATGTAAATCCTAAAAATAATTAATAGTGGTTTATTGTAAATAGTGAAAATAAGCGCATTTTACAACGATGCAGTCATATTGTTAATAGATCTAAAATTATGTTGTTCAGGTAAAATAATTCATATAAACCGTAAACGTTGTGTTCAAATCAAAGTTCTGGATAGCTGTTATGCGATTTTGTCGCTTTTTTCTGTAAATATGTTTTGGTTTACGATAAAAAAGCATAGAGAACAGCAAAGAAGATGTAAATTAATAAATACTCACGACTAGTAGTTCATACTTATGTAACTCTCAGCCTTTAGTTTATGGTCGCAAAATACACGTTAAGACCGCTCTATCTCAAGTATTTAAAAATTTTACACATTTTAACAATATTAAAGAAATTACTCACCATTTTTAATGCAACTTCAGTAGAACAGCATCATAAAAACGCTCTCAAAGTCGATTTCTCTCAGCACAGACTTAATGTTTTTATATGCCGCCATTGTGCTTTTGCCACCTTTGCAAATGGCGGCCGCGTAGAAATTTGCCTCACTCATTACTATACAAATTTGGCTGAGTCAGGTATCTAGTAGAATGGGTACTAGACATTGAGTTCTATAATAACTGGAGCGGCTAAGTGGACTGGGAACTGTTGTAAAAAACATGGCGGCCAACGGACGTATTTCCGCTGAAATGATCGCTTTGCAGAAAAATAATATTCTCGACCTCCCCCTGGTGTCTATAGTAAATTATAAAGAATTTTTCAAAAACAAACACGATATCACAGAATATGGATATCGTTAGTTCCATAATCTGTGACGATTCTTTTTGGCATTTCTTTATAATGCCAACACTTCAATCGTTCAATTGTTGGATGTCGTAGTTTCCACAAAAAGGAACATATCGCTTCTCACAGGTGAGGTAGTTGTTTGTTTTGTTAGTCCGTCAACGATAGAAAAGCAATTATACATGCACTTGAAAAGCCATAAAATACATATTAAAGATCGTATTTTTTAATACAGACTTGAACGCCAAATATACTGATGTAAAACTCATACTTGTAAAGTTCTTATAAAATTCTGTATACTTTTCTGTCATTTGTTAATGCATGAAATCGTAAATTTACCCATCTATTTGCAAAATAGTTTCCCTAAAGCAAAAGACACTGCACACATTTTGCTCTGTATCAAAATGTGATCTGGTATCAAAAGAAATGATCAGCCCTAACGGTACCCATGATTTGGAGCAGAGCTTGTTATGTTCTATTTGCTGACAACATGCAGGGAAGATCAAGGAGTAAAGATGACTGGAAGATGTTATTGACCAGGCAGAGTCTTAAAAAATGATAATGCTGTAAAGATAATTGATTTATTGTCTTCCCTCTCCAGAGTTATTTAATTTGATTGTGGTCAAATTCTATGGAGACAATGGATTCACTAAGGATGCCTTGAATGCTTTGAAGTTAAAGTTCATGATCCAAAGAAAGATGGCAAGAAGGTTGTGTGTGTTTTGATGCTTAATGAAATGTCAATTCACAAACATGTAAAATGGAAGGCCATAAAGTTTGTGTCTATGTAAACATTTGTACTGAGATTGATGATGATTCGATGCAGATGTGAAGCTTCAAACTGTATAAGCCATTGGGTTTTATGTAACTTAATGTTTAAATCATGTCATATCTTTATCAAATATTTTAGTTGAGTGTTGTTTGAATGTTACTAATATCTAATGCACTATACTGAAGCATTAAAGATTCAGTGATGAAACCTTTAAAGTTACTGTACTGTATATTTCTTATATATTTCTTATATTTCTTCAAGAAAAATTTGAGCTTATTTACCTATTAGAGTACAGAATGGAGATTTATCATATGCATTATTGCTGCTTTTTTAAAGAAAAGTTTTTCACTTTTCAAAGCTTTTCTACAAATTTTTTGCTTCTTATTTCTTATCATGAAATTGATGATATAGAGGTAATATAATCCAATAACTTTCTAATTTCTAAAAAGCTTTTAAGCTTCTAGCATAAAAGTACACTGTAGATATGTAATTCATTTGGTTTTATTGCCTTGTTATGACATATCTACTTGCAATTCATCATTCTTGTATGAACAAAACACCAGATGTGGATACTGAGAGAACAAAATGCTCTACCAACTGCTTATGAAATTTATTATTGAGGTGAAAACTGTGTTAATCATTCAAATTATAGTGCACTTTATTGCAAATATAGGAAAAACAAAACAAAGTGAAAAAGAAAGGTAGAAGTATTAAAACTACAAATGAATTATAAACACCATTGGAAGCATAAGTGTTTTGATGATTATTTGCATTTTGCCCAATTCATATATCAATACAACAAAATCAAAATGTGCTACAACTTCACAAGTATTTGATGCAGTTGCACTTCAGAACATCACAAAAAGGTTACTTAAAGTAATTTCTATACAATATTGTTTGTTTTCAATGTTCAAACCTATGCAGACTTGAGTCTTTTTGAAATTTCTTATGAAACTCAATTACAGAAAATCCGTAAATATCCAGAGAGTTAATATGTACTTTTTTAAAGAAACAAGTAAAAATCCTACAATTGTGGCGAAAAAAGCCATTGCCCATTGCATGAAAAGAAGCAAAATAGCAATGATAACAAATAAGCTGACTTCTCTCTCGTGAACCGTGGAGATGAACTATGATATACTTTTTTGTATAGACTAAAGAGTTTAATCGATCAAACAAGTTTGACGCTGGTAAGAAAACGACGCACATCTGCATTCATACATGTGTAGCCGACATATAGGTCTTTCGTCGATAGTTATAAATGCATCCTCGTAGGAGCAGATAACTGACAACCACAGTTGACTCGCTGTTATGAATTTAAGGTTTTTACCTTGATTTTCATCAAAAAATTGCTTGCCGAATCCCAAATACACATATACATTTTCCTCACTCTTTCCTCAGGAGGGAGTGGGAAATTGTGAAATTTTCGGAAAAGCGGTCAATTTCGGTAAATCTCAGCGGCAACGGACGAAATCCGCCATGTTTTTTACAACATCCGATATCTAAGGCCGCGCTTGAGATAGCCGCTCCAGTTATTATAGAACTCAATGGTACTAGATCATTGCTTAGGCCATGTTACTAAAGATTACGTCATCTCCATGTGGCATTGAAAAAAGCCTGAGTTCTAGCATTCTTAGCTCACGATAAAATGTGATGAATGAGTGGTTGTTAGTTGAGCCTGTAACATTGCATTACAATTTTGTCAAGTTAAAACGAACTGACTTTGGAGTCTTTGTTTATTGTGAAGGATGTATAGGGTTGATAAAGGAAATAAATTGTTTTTTATTTATTTTGATTTTGTAAGTAATACGTAGTTAACTGAAATGTGATGAATGTTAGCTATATAGATTCGAGTTAGCTTAAATCCATGAGTCGATAAAGCTCCGAAACATCGAAGATGCCGTGCTTGCAAGAATCAAGGAAGCATCCTAACTACGAAGACTCTGTGCTTGAAAGAATCAAGGAAGCGTCCTAAAAACGAAGACTCTGCCCTTGCAAGAATCAAGGAGGCATCCTAACAACGAAGAATCTGCGCTTGCAAGAATTAACGAAGCATCCTAACAACGAAGACTCTGCCCTTGCAAGAATCAAGGAAGCATCCTAACAATGAAGACTCTGTGCTTGCAAGAATCAAGGAAGCATCCTAACAACGATGACTCTGTGCTTGCAAGAATCAAGGAAGCATCCTGACATTATAGATTATAAGATACAACGGATATTACTAAATTGATGTAAAATACAAAAGTCATGTTAAGAGAGCATTTCCTCACCGCAATGCGTATATAGGATGTAGGTAGAAACGGAATGGCAAAGTTGCGCGTCATATTTAAACGCCCAAAACCACTTCCGAATAATTATACATAAATATAGCTTGCAAGCGTTGGTTCGGGGGTTCGAAAAGTTGACGTTATTGGTGTATGAACTGTTCATGCAAATTTGATAAATTAGAGTCGTATTGCAGAATGCAATAAATTTCGAAAACGCAGTTCTAGGATTGACAGTTGTCCGTAATATTATCGAGATCCATTTAATCATTCCGTATCGCGAAGAACCAACGCTTGGTATGTAAAATCGTGCAGAACACTGTAAATATCTTATTGAAGTGTTAAAATTATATATTCAAAATACAGTCCCATCGTTAGTGTGAAGTTTTAGA